TATATATATTTTCTGTGTGTGTTTGTGGGAATTTTATTTATTTTATATATTTTTCAAAATATGATTTTCAAAATATAAGCTGTGGGCTAGTCTACATTCCTTTTTTTCTTCTTGAAGCAAATAATTTTCTTATTATTTTATGCTAATTTGATAATTAAAAGGTAATGTTATGGAGAACGAAAATGACCCGAAACGAGACAAGGAGTTGAAGTCTGATTGGGGAAGACCGGCCCGGGACATAACGGGCCGGCCAAAAGAGTGACCTAACGCCGGGGCAGAGAACGAGGAAAGCGACCAGARGGAAGCCCACTGAGCCACGAAGGGCTCAGCCCCGACCCGGTGCTCGGTCCCGAGCCGTGCTCGGCCCACGGCCCAGCTAGTGATCCCCCGTCTTCGATCGACGATGTCGCCCAGGCCCTGCAACGGTGAATTAGGGTTAGCTACGGAAGATTCTGGAACAACTTCACGTTATAAGTATTGATCCAGCCTTAGAGGTATGGGGAGGAGAGTTGACTACATTTACGTTATTCTCTTGCTAACTTAAGCATCGGAGCCCGTGTGACTAGAATCACACCGGTTTAGCTCGATTTGATTTTGCAGGTACTAGTCCCGGATCAAAAAGTTTGGTGGATGCGAGGTAGTGAACCGGAGGACCGAGATCCACGCATCAACAGGTATATTTTGTGCAAAACAATCTTTGAAAATATATGATATTATTGCCTATTGGATACTTGAAATCATTATTTTCCAACCTGTATTGTATTTTTTACAATAGGTGATTGTTTTTAAAAGTTAGTTCCTTGAGTGAGATTCTTTTAAATTATTTGTTTTTCTTGAGTTTTATGTGAGGCGGGAACTCTAACCTCTGAAAATTTTGTCGAAGATATATGCTCTTACAAGTGGCCTACGTTGGTTGGACCCCGAACAATACACGTGGCAAATGTCGTTCATTTCCAAGTCTCATTAGTTCGGTCATATGAATATGCTCGAGCCGACGTCTTGCGTTGCCGAGCCGATCTAATCTCCTTCAGGTTAGTTCTTATTGCTTTAGTTGAACTGTTTGGCTTCACCTCAACTCAGTCGCAGATTCCGACAAACTCCACGACAACACGCCGTGATTCACTACAACCTTAAAGAGTCGTTGAGGCACTGTCGGGACGGTTGTCGGGGAAGTAGCCTATAAATAGAATTATTTTGCTTCATTTAGAGGTACGCGAACAACTCAATTCTCTCTCATGAGTTGATTTGGACATTTGGTGACTTTAGTATCCAAGTGCTTACTCTGTTTTGCAGGTCTTCTACGAGACATCCGAAGTTCTCTATCCAACTCATCCTAGCCGATATGACGTTCGCAGGGTTGATATTTTTATGATCAAACATAATCAATTAAGTTATGCTTGGTTTAATAGGCAAATACTTTACTTATACTCTATTTTAGTTTCTAAACTTTTTTTTTGTTATCTTTTTGTAATCTGTCACTTTTAAATGTTATGTGTTTTTTTTCTTAATAAAAGTATTATGTTTTAATCTACCGACCTTACAAAATCTATTTTAAACTTTACTTTTAATTTTTAATTAGCTATATTTGATAAAAATTCAAATTCGCGTTAAACTCCAGCCATGATCTAATCTACTCCCAAACCTCTAATATTTATGTCTACTATTAATCTCAACTAATCAAGTAAATAAACGAATGGAGGTATATAAGGCATTCGTTAATATTTGATATAAAAGAAAAATTTACCACAAGAATTAAAATAATTTTTTATGCGCTAACATGAGCTTAGCTCAACGATTAAGATATCTTACTCTTCCTCTAAAGATCGAAGATTCAATCCCTATATCCACATTTATTATACTTAAAAGGAACAATTAATTTCTTTATAAATTTAATTATACTTTAAGAAGGATTAAATTATGTACTAAGAAGAAGAGGATTAAATTATAATATTTATTAAAAAATAACGTATTCTTTTAAAAAACAACAAACAAGAATTTGAACTCTAAACTTTAAAATAAGATACGAAGATATGAAGTCTGAGAGTAACAATAATAATTTTAAATTAAAAAGTTAAAAAAGAAGAAGAAAAAGATGACAGGTGATTTTCAATGCTATGATCACAATGTCAAATTTTCCTTTAATGGAGAGTCCCCACTTTGTTCATAACTTTTAAGTCTTAACAAATGCTCCTTTAATAGTACATTTTTTTTCTTGGTTTTTATTTCTTTATGGCCGAAATCCTATATTATATCTAAATTTTATATTTTCCTCCTCTCAAGCTCTCAATTCTTTTGTGTTAGTGCCTAAGCTTTT